AGTCTCGCTCTGTCACCCAGGCTGGAGTGCAATGGCGCAATCCTGGCTCACTCCAACTTCCACTTCCCAAGTACAGGCAATTCTCCTGCCTCAACCTCCTGGGTAGCTGGGACTACAGGCCTATCCCACCATGCCCAGCTAATTTTTGCACTTTTAGTAGAGACAGGGTTTCACCATGTTGGCCAGACTGCTCTAGAACTCTTGACCTCAGGTTATCCACCCACCTCGTCCTCCCAAAGGGTTGGGATTACATGTGTGAGCCACCACACCCAGCCCAGATGAGATTTTTAAAGATTCCCAGAATTTAATATATTCTGTATAAATTGGGAGCTGTGAAATGGTATAAGATACCTAAAGAAGATCTAATGTTTATAAAATCAACAAAATGAATGACTTTGTTATAGATCATGTGACTGAGAATCAGATGGTTTTACATGAATTGCTTTAAAATGGATACTGGTTAGGACAAGGCAGTTGCATCAATTGAGGTTAGGAGTTTGAGACCAGCCTAGCCAACATGACAAAACCCCAACTCTACTAAAAATGCGACAATTAACCAGGCGTAGTGGTGGGCACCTATAATCCCAGCTACTTAGGAGGCTGAGGCAGGAGAATCACTTGAACATGGGAGGTGGAGGTTGCAGTGAGCCAAGATCGTGCCATTACACTGCAGCCTGGGCAACACAGTGAGGCTCTGTCTCAAAATAAAATAAAATGGATACTGGAACTTCTTACACTTCAGAATAAATACCAGGACTAGTATTACAATGCTATAAAGTTTAATTTCGTCCTCTAATTACCCTAATTACGTGCATCTTAAATGATAACAATTTTGTACACAAGTCAAATCCCATTTACCTTTTTTTCTTTTTTGAGACAGGGTCCCACTCTGTCACTCAGCCTGAAGTGCAGTGGCACAAGCTTGGCTCATTGCAACCTGCGCCTCCTGTGTTCAAGCAATTCTCCTGCCTCAGCCTCCCATGTAGCTGGGATTATAGGCGTGTGCCACCACGCCTGGCTAATTTTTGTATTTTTAGTAGAGACAGATTTTCATCATGTTGGCCAGGTTGGTCTAAAGCTCCTGGCCTCAAGTGATCTGCCCATCTCAGCCTCCCAAAGTGCTGGGATTACAGGCGTGAGCCACCACACCCAGCCAAATCCCATTACTTTAATTCTGTTTATTTCAACATAAACAAAGTCTTAGTAAATAATTTTTATTCTCTTGTGATGGACCGTTGGAGTCTTTAAACAAAAAGTGGTACACTGAATAACACTAACATTTAGTATTTAACATTACTTTCTCAGAAATATAAAATAAGTTACTTTTTCAACAGATTCAAACATACTGTAGAAAGCAAAAATTATTCATCTGGCCAAAAGGGATTATAAATCTGATAGAATTTTCCTATTAGACAACAAATCTTCTGTTTTGGGAAATTAAAGATCACTCAAAAATAACCAGGACACAAAAAGAACAACAACAACAACAAAGGTGTTAAGGGTCCTATTGAGGCTATATTTCATTATCTGATTTATTTTTTAAATGCCTTTAGGTTTGTCTCCTCCCATAAAACCTAGTACTGATGTTGGTGTTCAGCTACTTTACCCACTAAATTACTTCACACGTCTTGGAGTTTCTCATGTGCAGAATTGTCATCTGTGAGGTTATTAGATATATAGCTTTTTACCACTAGAGAATTTCAATTTCTATACTGAAGAAAGGAAATTAATTGATTTAAGCTAAATTTTAGGAACTAAAATACCTGCAATTAATAGACATCAGCCAGGAACAGCTTCCCAAGAGAGGATACGGATTTCTTGCCATTTATATGACTTAAAACCGTAAAAACATGCTATCCACCAATAGCAAACAGTCCTACTTATGGATTTCATTCACATAGTCTCAATTCCTCTGATTTGATGGCTCTACAGCAAAGTCATCATTTTGTACTCTACCATACAGATTTCCAAACCCTCATGGGCATCAAGCTGCATTTAGAGTAAGAAGATAAAATACTGCTACTATCAGCAGTAACTTTAATTTTTGTTTTGTTTGGTTTTGTTTTGAGACAGGGTCAGCTCTGTCACCCAGGCTGGAGGACAGTGGTGCAACTCTTGGCTCACTGCACCACACTCTGCATCATGCACCTCTGTCTCCTGGGCTCAAGTCATTCTGCCACCTCAGCCTCCCAAGCAGCTGGGACCACAGGTACGCAACAGCACACCTGGCTAATTTTGTATATTTTGTAGAGACAGGGTTTCATCATGTTGCCCAGGCTTGTCTTGAACTCCTGGGCTCAATTTATCTACCCGCTTCAGATAAATCTCATGCTGAGATTATAGGCATGAGCTACTGCGCCCAGCCGTAAGCATTCCTTAAAACTAATTACATCGCTATACAAACCCACTACTGTATCTTCTTTGAATCAAAGTCTAAAAAGATTGCTATCTAAACAGTAGCCATTGTCAGGGCTGCTTAAAGCCACTACCACTACTAAAAGTCAGTGTAACCATTACGTGGCTTTGGCCACTATGGGGATCTTAAGTTTTATCTTCTTCTGATTCCATTTTAACAAATGTGGAAAGCTGATGGTGTGTCACTTCCAGAGCAACTTGCATGTCTTGGCTAGGATGTTACAGAACAGGTATCACACCTCCATGTAACTGCTGTTTACACTGGTATCTCTGCTATCACCAGCTATCTATGCTTAAGAGCACAGAGTGAATGCTGCTCTGAATGTTTGGTGCTGGCCTAAGAAAAGTCTGTGCTTTCCTTCCAAGGTATTCTTTGACTTGAAAGCCTCTTCATACACCAAAATATACATACATGAGGAACAATCATGCAGCAAAAACATGCTTAAACTAAGTTGGAGGTTAACGTTTCACATATAAAACAAGGACTACTAATGTGTAATTCAGAGGTTAGTTTTAGCAAATATTATAAATAGCATCAATATTTGTATTTTCTTTCAGGTATAAGTTTCTTATTTATGTCTCATTATTACTCAAAACTAGTCCTATATGCTCTACCATTCATACTCAACAAGCTATTTCAGCAAGGAAAAAACAGGTAGGAAAGGCAATCTATGGAATCTTCCAACTTATCATGATCTGGAGATTAAACACACACACACAGGTACACAGACACACAAAGACACAGATACACACACAAACACACACACACTCCAAAAGGTACTGCAACCTGAAGATATCTATATACCTTTAAACATCTGAGCTAACTGTAGCTATTCACACAGTTGGAATTTGAGGATTTTAAATACTAATTCCCTCCTTGGAATAAATACCTGAATGTTTCAAATCAAAAATTATGACAAAGAGAATGAATCCTCAAGATTCCAAGCTGCAAAGAGGCACACACAGCAGGGCTGGTCACCAATGTCTTCCAGGAAGTGACTCTCTCTGATAACTGGACACTGTCTCCTTAAATAACTCCAGGAACATGTCCTGTAAAGTTCTTCAATGGTTTTATTCTGCTTTATACCTAACTCAAGACATTCTCCCTCTGGTCCTTTCACATTTCATTTTTCTGTGGAACCAGAATAAATGCTCATCAGACTCTTAATGAAAATTCATTATATAATTAGAAAGATAGAAAGTCAAGCCCTAGGTTTTTCTTCCTTAGCTTCAGCAATTCCAAATCTTTTAAATTTTAAACCAGAACTCATTATTTATTTTCTTATCAACCCGCAACTGTTACAGAGAACAGAACTCACTTTGTATTCCTAATTACTTGTGTCATTTTTTTCAGGACTTCAACTCATAACTGAAAAGAGGATGACCACTAGTAGGATTATTAATGACTACAATTACAGAAAACCTAAAAAATCCAAATGAACTTTTCAATTCTCCATTTAATCGTTAACAATTCACTTACTTGATAAGATTCTGAAAAGCATAACCATCTGTCCACTGTTCAGTAAACGAGGCCCCATGTCGGACAGTAGTAAAGTGGCCCAATCTCAAGCGGTCTTGCATGCTCTTATCTCTACATGCCATCTTCTCTTGTTTTGACTTCCGGGAAACAGACAAAAAAAGGAATTCAATACCAATTAGCATGGATAAAGACACTTCTTAGAAACTAAAACATTTAACATGATCAGGAAACATGCTGTTGAAAACCATACACCTCAGAACAGTCAGTTATGACTCCTTGGATGGCTTATCATTTCTATTCAAATAAAGCAGACAAGATAAAATAATGAAACAATCACAGGTTCTTCCTTGGTAAAGCTTTCCCAATCTGCCTATCTATGTGTGTGTGTGGTTTTTTTTCTTTGGAGACAGAGTCTTACTCTGTCACCCAGACTGGCATGTAGAGCCATAATCTCAGCTCACTGCAACCTCCGCCTCCAGGGTTCAAGTGATTCTCCTGCTGCAGTCTCCAGAGTAACTGGGACTACAGGGGCGCGCCACCATGCCCAGATAATTTTTGTTTTGGTTTTTTTTTTTGACACGAAGTCTTACTCTGTTGCCCAAGCTGGAGAGCAGTGGCACAATCTTGGCTCACTGCAACCTCCACCTCCTGGGTTCAAGAGATTGTTCTGCCTCAGCCTCTCCAGTAGCTGGGACTACAGGCATGCACCACCAAGCCTGGCTAATTTTTTTATTTTCAGTAGAGATAGGGTTTCACTATGTTGACCAAGTTGATCTTGAACTCCTGACCTCATGATCCACCCACCTCAGCCTCCCAAAGTGCTGGGATTACAGGTGTGAGCCACCGCGCCTGGCCAACTTTTGTATTTTTTAGTAGAGACAGGGTTTCGCCATGTTGGCCAGGGTGATCTCGAATGCCTAGCCTCAGGCGATCGGCCATCGTCGGCCTCCCAAAGTGCTGGGATTACAGGCTTAAGCCACGGCACCTGGCCTGCCTATGTGTTTTAACTTTTTGAGACGGAGTTTCATTCTTTTGCCCAGGCTAGAGTGCAATGGCACAATCTTGGCTTACCACAACCTCCACCTCCTGGGTTCAAGCGATTCGCCTGCCTCAGCCTCTCAAGTAGCTGGGATTACAGGCATGTGCCACCACGTTTGGCTAATTTTGTATTTTTAATAGAAATGGGGTTTCTCCAAGTTGGTCAGGCTGGTCTCAAACTCCTGACCTCAGGTAGCCCACCCTCCTTTGCCTCCCCAAAGTGCTGGGATTATATGCGTGAGCCACCATGCCTGGATGACCGTGTGTTTTTAACCTTAGAGTACAGCACCTTGTATTTGGGCCACATCAATGCCCAGCTCTTAAGCTGTTTCCCTATTTTCTGTTTCTTCTCTAATCTATTCTAAAGAACTGCTGCCAATTCATCTTCTCAGAACACCACTTCGCACACTTTTAATTTGATACTCCAACTCTTCCATGGGTCTTTGCTACCAAACTTTGGATCCAGAGAGGAAAAACTCCTCCATGAGCTAGATTATATCCGCCTCCCTGCAGAATTCTTACTCCAGAACACCTTATATACTCCTGATTCTTGAGAACATCATTCATTCAACATATGTTTATTAAAAACCAATTATACATCATGAACTGTAAGAATGTTAAGTATAGAATAGAAAACAACTGGTGATCACAGCCTAGAGAGGGGAGAGTTATAACCACTAAATATATTAATTGGTATTTCTAAGAACTGTGGTAAAAAAATCGAAGGAAAGGAATAAAGTACTGTGAGGGATAAACGTCCTTGAGATGCCCTATTTTCAAACGACAGCCAATTTATAGCTACAGTTTTCCATACCCAGAACACATTTTTCCTCTTCTTTACAGCTTTCTCCAATTAGTACCCTGCCCTTGATTTATTTTAGTGCGTTTTTCTTTTCTTTTCTTTTCTTTTTTTTTTTTTAAGAGACAGGATCTCACTCTGTTGCCCAGGCTGGAGTGCAGCAGTGCAATCACAGCTTACTACAGACTCTAACTCCTGGCTCCAGTGATCCTCCTGCCTCAGCCTCCTGAGTAGCTAAGACTACAGGTATGTGCCACCATACCCAGCTAATTTTAGTGAAATTCTTAATATGTGCACTACTCACCTGAATAGGTTTCCTTATATATGTGAATGTATCTTATTCACCCACTCTCATGTAGACTGTTACCCCTCTGATGGCAGGAACTGTGTCTTTTGTTTCTTAGATTCATGCAAGCTGTTCTACTATGAGGAATTCATTCTTTTTTTTATTACTGAGTAGTATTCCACTGTATGACCATATCATAATGTGTATATACATTCACTTGTTAGCAGACATATAGGATGTTTCTGCTTTTTGGCTATGAACAAACTGCTATGAATATCCTCATATTTATGTACTTTAATGGACATTTGCTTTCTTTCTGTTTTTAAGAATAGAGATGGTCTCACTGTGCTGCCCAGGCTAGGCTCAAACTCCTGGATTCAACTGACTCTCCTGCCTGGGCCTCCCAAAGTGCTGAGATTACAGGTGTGAGTTACCATGCCCAGCCAACATCTGCTTTCATTTGTCTTGGGTAAATGCCAGCAGAGGAACTGCTGGATCACAGCATTAAGTACATATTTATCTCAAAAAGAAATTGTCCAAAACCCTCTGAACTGGCTATAATATTTTACATTCCTATTAGTGTAAGAAATCAGGCTGCCCCTCACCTTCACCAACCCTTGGCACTGTCAGTTTTTTTTTTTTTTTACTTCTAGGCATTCTACTGGGTATGTAATAATATCTTACAGTGGTTTTACCTTGAGTTTTCCTGATGGATGATGACGTTGAGCATCTTGTCATGTTTGCCATTTGCAAATGTTTATATGCTCTTTTCTGGTAAACTATCTGCTCAAGTCTTTTGTGCATTTTTAATGAATTTTCTTTTATGATTAAGTTATAACAGTTTTTATGTACTGAAATTCGATGAAAGATAATATTACAGTCTATGATTATATTTTCATTTGTGTGTTTTTTTGTTTTGTTTTTGTTTTTTTTGAGACAGAGTCTCACTCTATTGCCCAGGCTGGAGTACAATGGCATGATCTCAGCTTACTGCAATCTCTGCCTCCAGGGTTCAAGCAATTCTCCTGCCTCAGCCACCCAAGTAGCTGGGATTACAGGTGCCCGCCACTACACCCGGCTAATTTTTTTATTTTTAGTAGAGATGGGGTTTCATCATGTTAGAGTGGTCTCAAACTCCTGACCTCAGGTGATCTGCCCGCCTTGGCCTCCAAAAGTTCGGGGATTACAGGCGTGAGCCACCTTGCCCAGCTCATTTGTGTGGTTTTTCTTTGCTTGTTTTTTTGTTTTGAGACAGAGTCTCAGTCCTTTACCCAGGCTGGAGTGAAATGGCACGATCTCAGGCTCATTGCAATCTCCGCCTCCAGGGTTTAAGTGATTCTCATGCCCCAGCCTCCAGGGTAGCTGAGATTACAGGTGTACACCACAACACCTGGCCAATTTTTGCCATTTTTAGTAGAGACAGGGTTTCACCATGTTGGCCAGGCTGATCTCATACTTCTGACCTCAAGTGATCTGCCCACCATGGGTTCCCAAAGTGCTGGGATTACAGGCATGAGCCACTATGCCTAGCCCATTTATGTTTCTTTAAACTGCATCATGGTATAGCGGACACTCAATAAATATTCCTTATTTAGAAAGTCAATAAGAAGGTACTATAATTTCAGTTCTTTTGGAAACAAATTTAAATTTTGTTATGTACTACTCTTAACAAATAGAAAGTTCTGTTTTCTTGTGAGAACTCAGGGACAACATTATGTTTACTTTTTGTAGTATGCTATCTAGAGTTTAGTACAACTGGCTCAATCTATGCTGACTTCAGGAGGTACTCAAATTTTAAAGAAATTATCTGGATTAGCATATATTTTATTTTTTCTCTCTCTCAGAAAAAAATTTAAAAAGTGGTTACTTTTCTAAAATTGATTAATGAGTCAAAGAATGAAACAAAGTTTTCCCCAGTATCTTCAGCCTCAATAAAATAATCCATTTCACTTTTACTAAGAGACAGTGTTCCGTGTCTTTTAAGTAACATTCCAAAGGTTTCAGGAAAATAAATCACCAGTGTATCTCAAATCTTTCGTTTGTCTTATAATAATGTCATTAGGAAGTATTGCCTTCTTAAAACTTCTAAGAAATAAGCCAGGAGAGGTGTTAAGTGCCTATAATCCCAGCACCTTGGAAAGCCAAAGCACACAGATCACTTGAGATCAGGAGTTCAAGACTAGCCTAGCCAACATGGTGAAACCCTGTCTCTACGAAAAATACAAAAATTAACCATACATGGTAGCACACGCCTATAAACCCAGCTACTCGGGAGGCTGAGGCAGAAAAATCGCTTGAGCCTAGAGGTGGAGGCTACAGTGAGCCAAGCTCATACCACTGCACTCCTGGATGAGGCTCTGTCTCAATAACAACAAACTTCTAAGAAACAGTTACTAAGGCTGGGCTTGGTGGCTTACCACTGTAATCCCAGGACTTTGGGAGGCAGAGGTGGGAGGATCAAGGTCAGGAGTTCAAGACCAGCCTGACAAACGTGGTGAAACCCCGTCTCTACTAAAAATACAAAAAATAAAATTTTACTAAAGTAAGAGGGATTTCGCAAAAATACAAAAAAATTTTTGTATTTTTAGTAGAGACGGGGTTTCACCACGTTTGTCAGGCTGGTCGTGGGTGCCTGTAATCCCAGCCACTCAGGAGGCTGAGGCAGGAGAATCGCTTCAACCCAGGAGGCGGAAGTCGCAGTGAGGCGAGATTGCGCCACTGCACTCTGGCCTGGGCGACAGAGTGAGACTCTGTCTCAAAAAAGAGAAGAAGAAGAAATGGTTACTAATAACTACTAACAGAGATACTCAATAACTAACCAATAACTATAATAAAGAGGACATTAGCCAATTAAAGTAATCATACACAGGTATATGACAACTTTAATTTTTTAAGAACAAAGCACTTAATTATCACATTATTATATACATAAGTTACTCTTAATGTCATCTCTGAAACAAAACTGCAACTATTGTTAATGTTTCTAATAGTAATAGGATACTAACTTCAATTAATAGAATGAATATAAGAATTGAGAAGAGCAATACTCCAAGTAAACTCAACTGGGACAAGCCGTCCGTGTTACTCAGTACCACATTCAAAGCAATGCACAGCAAGAAAGCATATTCCAAATTAACACTCTGGATGCTTGGTCTGGTGTCCATGCAAGGAAAAAAATTCTAATTGTCAAATCATGTTCCTAAAAAGCTCTACTTTTAAATATTTTCATCTCAAGTAAGGAGAAAAGAAGCCACACAATGAAACATTGAGTATTCTGGGATACAGAATTTAGGCCAACATTATTTACTGACCTTTTCTATAAGGAGTTTCTTGCTCATTGTCACACATCTATTTAATCGTTCCTTGTATTTCTCTAGCATCTTTTGCTGTTCATCAATCTGCCGTCTCAAATCACAGTTGGCCTTGAAAGAGAAAAAAAATTTTAATTAGCTCTAAGGAAGAAGATTAACAGAAAAGCAGTTTCTAGAGAGAGAAAAAAATCATTTCTATATGTTGTTTTATCAAAAGCAAAATTAAAGTTCAAACAGGTAAGAAGTAACTATGTCTTAGGAAAAGTAAGTAATTCCTTTATTCTCTCATAATATATCATCTATTTGTAAATGACAGATTGAATTACTAACTTGGGCACGTTTTTCTACTGATCATATTTTGCTCCTGCCAATAACCAGTTACAGCTAATCTTGTAATCACAAACACCTAACCTATCACAAACTAATAATTAAACAAATTTTAAGGCTGGGTGCCGTCATTCACGCATGCAATCCCAGCACTCTGGGAGACCAAGGCAGACAGAGGACTTGAAGTCAGGAGTTTAAGACCAGCCTGGCCAACATGGTCAAACCCCATCTCTACTAAAAATAAATAAATTAGCCAGGCGTGGTGGTGGGAGCCTTAATTCCAGCTGCTTGGGGGGCTGAGGCAGGAGAACTGCTTGAACCCAAGGGACAGGGGTTGTACTGAGCCGAGATTGCGCCCCCTGCACTCCA